TACTGTCGCTTAATACTCCTAAATAGGCTAGAAGCTTTGGGTGTTAGAGGTAAACAGTTGATCCTATTTCAAAGTTAACTCCACAACAGAACCCAATACTTCAAGTTAGCGACTACGCCAGTTGTCAACTTGCTATTAAATTTGGTGTGCCGCAAGTCAGTATGGTCCATCCATAGTTTTGCCTTATGATAATTCCCTATGCAATTTGAAACAAGATCATGGTAAAATCATCTGTTTCGCCTATGATACATGTCGATGATGTGACAGTAGGGAAGAGGTTTTAAAATCTGGCCGAATAGGGCTTAATATCGTCACTCAGTGGCTATATAGTAACTTTTTGACGATTAATACAGCCAAAAAAACTTTTAATATTCAACGGTTATCCCTTCCACTCCAAAACATCTACACATTAATTGTTCTCTCTTGTGGTCAAACATTTATATGTCCATGCCCAGAATTAACAATTACTAAAGCTATTAAATATCTAGGTGTTACTAGAGATCAGCATCCGAAATTTGAAAAGCACATTACACTCTTAAAAACTAGGGTGCGTAAATTAACTTATATTTTCAGAAACTTGCGTCAAATTGCTAATTTTACCTTAATCAAAACCTGTGTCAAAACAGTATATTTCGCATTATGTCAGTTCGTTTTGACCTATTCTAAATCTGTTTGGGGAGGCTATTCGAAATCATCATCATCATTACATCCCTTCAAAAGTCTAAAAGGCAGAACATAGGCCTCTCCCAAGTAATGCCACAAAGCACGGTCCTGAGCAACCTGCATCCATCGACTTCCTGCATGTCTTACCAGGTCGTCACTCCATCTAGTGGGGGGTCGCCCTACACAACGCCTACCAGTACGAGTCTGCCACTCGAGAACCTTTTTTCTCCATCGGTTATCGGTTCTTCGAACTGTATAGCCGGCCCATTGCTACTTTAGCTCTCTAATCCGTTGGGCTATGTCGGTCACTCTGGTTTTACTGCGGATATGCTCATTTCTGAGACTATCTCGCAGAGAAACTCCGAGCATAGCCCTCTCCATAGTTCGCTGAGTGACCTTGAGCGTCCTCATACGGCCTAGTGAAGGACCACGTCTCAGATTCGTACGTCCTCACTGGCAACACGCACTGGTTGTACAATCTAGTTTTCGGAGTTTGAGGTATACCTGACGAAAAGATTGACCTCTCGGTTGAATTTGGACTTACCTAGTCGGACTATTTGTCCCAGGTAAACGTGCTCCCTACAACTACCTGCATAGGTGTGATATGAACATTAAACATGACCTTTGTTTTATCCATGTCATCTTAAGACCTATCCGTTGGGAGACACCATTGAGGCCATTCAGCATAGTGCTTAGGTCCTCCAGCGATTCTGCCATAAGGACTATATCGTCGGCAAATCGAAGGTGAGTGATGTACTCTCCATTGATGTTAATACCGTATCCTTTCCAGTCCAGTAGCTTGAACACGTCTTTCAATGCAGCGGTGAAGAGTTTCGGGGATATAACGTCACCCTGTCTTACACCTCTCTGCAGTTGGGTAGGTTTCGAACTCTGGTTCTGTACTCGGATAGCCATCGTAGCCATACTGTACAAATACTTCAGCCCTTCGATATACGGACACTCAACTCGGCACCGCTGTTGGGACTGTGGCACCGCCCAAATTTCGACGAAATCAAAGGCTTTCTCATAGTCCACATACGCCAGGCAAAGTGGCAGATTGTACTCTTCTGTTTTCTACGTGCGAGACGATTCGTAATGACTCTCGAAAACAGCACGTAGACGCGGCTCAGAAGGGAAATCGGTCTGTAGTTCTTCAGGAGAGCCCTGTCGCATTTCTTAAAGAACAAGACCATCGCACTTCTGCTCCACGCCTCCAGAGTAGTGCCACCATGAAAGACGGAATAAGACGGACAGACGGATGAAGAGCTTCTGAAGGACTTTAAGTACCGGTGTTCCACCCGCTTTCAGAAACTCCGCTGTAATTCTATCCTCGCCTGGGGCCCTGCCGTTTTTAAGGTGCTGGAGAGCCGTTCTAATCTAGCTCAGACTGACGTCCAGGATATCATCGGAATAGTGTCGGATAAGACTTGTTTTTGAATCTTTACTCACACTTGAGTGTGGCTCCAATGATGATGTGTAATAAACGTGTAGATAATAGATAACTAAGATGATGTGTAAACAACAATGCTACCACATTCAGTCTTCAGCTTTGACAGTTGGCTCTTTCTGGCAGACAGATCTCTGGAAAAGACTTTGGAGCCCTGGTTCCACTCGATCGCTTCTTCAATGCGAGCAGTATTAAAGTTGCGTAAGTCTCGCCACGTGCATTTGGAGATCTGTCTGGCGGCTCTTCGAAAACTTTACTATTATTATTAGAAAAAGCTCAAAGAAGAATCTAAAAATTAGCATCCTTTCGAAGTTTTTTTTAACCTACTAAAGAACTTTATAATGAGTGGAAAGTATTATCTATGCTACAGCTGTTTTTCAATTGGTTATACAAAGACAACATCGCTTAGTACTTTATGATCCAGAGCTTAAAATCAAAAAGCGAAGACACGACTTGGTGCGTACGTGCAAGGCATTTAGAACGAAATTCGCACATAGATTTTTTGGTTTCTTGGTCCTTAATTATACGACTTATGTAACGGTAAAATTGATGCATGTTTAGAAAATAAAAGTAATACATTTTATAGCTAGGCTAGGCAAAAAGGCGCTAGGCATAATCCATCCTTCTTAAATATGGTACGATTAAGATACAAAAATACGCTTACTATATCTATCATATATGTGTTGATCTGTGACTTTTATTCGCGTATTATTTCTTATAGATAATTATGTTTTTTTAAGTTATCAAGAACATTATATTTTTTAGATCTCAATTAGGAAAGCGAGAGCATGAAGAATTTGAATACGTTACATCTCAGCGTGCGCGTGATTACCAATTGTAATGATAATTATAAATATGCGCCGTGTGTTGCCAGATGCAAGATGCCCTTTTCAAGTGTCATAGTATCATAATATCATAGTAGAGTATTTACCGTCCTATTTCATGTAAATTATAAGTAAAATTATATTAAAAAAACTTCTAGACAAATAAAAATATTTTTGCCTGGGATTTTTTGTAGTAAGGTACATAAATAAGGACAAACACGCGATTATAATATATTATCTTGCTATTCTTCTTCATCAGTAGTCCGTATCCTGCAGTAGTCTTTATTAAAAAATAGTACAAATATGCGAATGATTTTTTTTTGTTTTATAATGAAGCGTTATCATGAAACCGTGTGGCGGTGTAAGGATATCCAATACCCCATATCGTCCCGAGAGTATCGTAAGAGGCAGCAACATCTTCCTAACAACTCAACAAAATCTACCATGAGGCAATTTTATTTGTCAATTATTATTATTATTATTATTTTAATTGGGCTTTTGGCATCTTTATATGAAATAGTTGGACGGATTATTTTTTGACACTGATTTAATAATTTGATAATGATTGATTTTGATAAGTTAAGTTTTGTTGGTAAAATTTCCAAGAATAAACAAATTTGTGTGTCTCCACTAGGATCCATGTCTCCAAATTTTCTCGCAATAAACTGCGAGAAAAATATTTCGAAAACTACTACAATCGGGTCAAAGATTTTATTATTTATTAAGTCCTTGGCACAATTGTTCAATTTATATTTGTCAGTTATAAAATTTTAGCCTACTTGCCGGTTTCAATATATACCTTTTTTATTTATTTTTACTCCATTCTCGTAGATAGCCGTATAATAAACGTATAGTTTTGATGTCTATTGGATATGTTAGAATGTGCGAACGTTAGAAGAATGTGGATACTCTAGATATGGTATTATTCTAACCGAGTAATTTTTTTCTTCTTTTTTCATAAATTCCTAAATAATCTACTGCTGGCTGGGTATCTGCCATTCAGTAAGAAGTGAAATAAGTCGGTAAGAAATGAAAATAAAAAAGTTGATTAATTTAGGTTGTAAATAGCGACTAATGTGGCATCATTGAGCCTGAGCATGAGCCGTGGTGGCTCAGATGGTTAACGCTCGCTGTTAATATAACAGAACACGAGTAACCCGGGTTCGATCCCCGCCGGCACCAATGAAAATATTTATTGCAATTTTAAGTGCTGATTTACCACGTGCTCGGCGGTGAAGGAAAACAACAAGGTGAGGAAACCTGCATGTCTGAAGAATAAGAAAAAAAAATCTTTCGAAGACATGTGAAGTTCGCCCATACGCATTGGGGCGGCGCGGCGGACACTTCCTTGCCCTTAAATCCTCTAAGAAATGAAGGGAGGCCTGTGCCCAGCAGTGGGACGTCTATAGGCTTTAACTTATCTTAACTTTACTTTACTTTTGGCATCATTTAAATGTTGTAAGTTGTCATTAATGATCATTTACTATATCAATTTTTCGATTTTATAAAAATATACACCAAAATTTTTGGGATAAAATACAGCCTAGATCAGTTCTGGTATAACGTTATCTGTCCGTGAAATTTCATCATAATCGGTTCAACCATTCGAAAAATTAGCTCAGACAGCAGACAGAAAAAAAAATATCATAAATGTTCGTTAATATCTGAATGGTATGCAAATAACACCCTGAGCTCGATAAAAGACAGTTACTTCTAGTTCTAGTTTATAAATGTTATAATAATAATCATACATTTATTTGTGATGTGTTATAATTTTTATTTTTTTTAGTACTACCGGCTGCAATATTTTAGTTATCACTTTAATGTATCTAAGTCTTGTCTATACTAATATATATGGTTCGACTTGTTTCATTAAAGGGCTGCGCCCAGTATACGTACATATGCTTGTGTAGTTTCCTGTAGCCGCAGCTTAGACAGGCCCTTAATACGTATGTATAGGACATGCGGTCCCCTATATAAGCCCAGTTATCTTAGAATTAGGCACACATCAAGCCCTAGTGCTAAGCGTGAAGTACAGAGCTAAACTTTAAAACAAACCCTAGAAAATGTTTGCAAAGGTAACTTATTAATGAAATATCTCTTATAATAAGAACGTAAATCTTATAATATGTAATTAAAAATAATATATTATGCGTACATTTTAAACAATTCCCTTAAAGTAAATAATATTATATTTAAGTAATTTTCTGATGTTAATGAAATAAATTAGCTTTAAAATTTGATACAAATCATTTCGTATAATGTAGTTCAAAACTACATTTCTAATATTAAAAACTTTTTTAATTCAACCGATAATCACTTTAATTCCCTTACACATATATAAAATTTATGTACATCTTTATTTCTTGGGATAAACATAAGAAACGTGATAGCATTATTCTTAACCGTTGTTATAATTCCGTAAGAGCTAGTTCTGGTTACTCTTAAAAGAACTCTGGAGTTATATTTTTAGGAAACGACGTCCCTAGAAACCAAATTATACTTATTGTGTAATTATAATTATTACTTATTGTTCCCAGCTTGTAGGGGCTTGTGCTCTCTTGAGCGTAGTTCGTGGAGGACTTATTGCGAGTCCCCATGGCGCAGTTTCATCGCAAAGTATAATCCTAGGGCACCCAGCATCAGCACCAGCGTACGCTACAGCATATGCTGCACCGGCCTATGCAAGGACATATACTCCAACCTATGGCATCGGACTAGGTAACTTTAAGAAAACTTTATTATTATTCACATTGCTCAATTTTCACTATCGGTTATCATGAGAAACAACTGAGGTAAATACTAACAATATCTTGTGACTTTATTAGATGATACATATACATACACTGTGGGAATATATTCCCAAACATGGGGATCAATTGAGGCCAAGATACAAAGTGATCGGTTCAATAATGGCGGTACTTTGAATATTTAAGACCAGCACTTGACTTGTTATAATCTAGTGATGACGTATACTATCATATTTAATAACTAATTTCTACAAAAATGCTGCTTTTGTTTTGGTAATATGAATAGTGATTATTATAACAACTGACAATTTTTTGTAGATCCCTTATAAATTAATACTTATAACTTCTTTGTGTTTTTACTAATAAAAATAATTTAATTAAATTTCGTCAGGAAATTCATAAAGAAGACGAATGAATAAATGATTTTTTAATATTCAAATGAAATACGAGCAAACAGGTGTGGTGTACATTACAGGTTACTGTAGCCTACGGACAGTCGCAATTACCTTTCAAAGTCAAGGTCAAATTCAAACTCTTTATTTAATTTAGATTTTTTAGAGTAGAGTAGAACTTTTCACAAAGACTTTAAACAAAGAAATCCCTCGAATTGTTATTGCTCCTGATGGTTGAAAACTTGTATAGTTTTGTGAGACATTTTCCACTGCCTTTAAATATAAAAAGACCTCTCACCCTTCAAATTAGAACACTCCATTTACCTACAGATAAGTGGGTGCTGTAAAGAAAAGGAGCCCAATGACTTTTCGTATTATCACAATTTTTTAATATCTATAAATATTATGAAATAACATTAAATTTGGGTACAAGAGAAATAATATGTTTGGTTACAACCGAAGGTGAGAATATTATTAGCGAACTATGTTGTTTGTACTTAAACCTCTTTTTAGTTTATTGTCAACCGTCGTCTCACGAAATCACATTGGACGAATTTTCCCTTTAAAATAAAAATGTAATCATGAGTGATTTTTTATTTACGAACCAGTATGATAATATTATTTTATCATAGGTTTTGTAAGTTCACCAAGCCTATACTAGGTTAACTAGGCTGTAATTATGATAAAGACAATTTGCAGGTCACAGTGCCGTCGTCGCACACGCAGCGCCAGTATACCACGCAGCACCCATCGCCCACGCCGTTGCCCCTGTTGAGGTTTATGTAAGTATATTGAGCAACACTACTGGTATCCACACTCAATGAAATTATTTATAATTCGTAATAATAAATTTCAAAATTTGCCACAGATCATGCACATTTGGTCAATCGTATTTTATAAACATTACACGAGGAAATGTTCATTTGCTTTAATGTAACAAATACCTACTGAAATTTAATAATAATTTCAGGGCACAAAAATATTTTCGTTAAATAAGTGTAAGGCCGCTGCTGAATACAGACCTCCTTCAAGAAATGCTATAAAACTAGGTGCCTAATACCGGCATCCAATTCAGACCTACGCTCAGCAGTCGACTTGTGAAAGGCTTCAATAAAAATAATAATGATGGTGATGATAAAAAAATGGAGTTTGAGAAGAGAACCGTCAATTTCGTCTGCACGTGTTTTACCTGTTGATTGATGTACATGCTTATAATAACCCTGATACCGGGAAATTTATCCATTATTGAGTTATTTTTTAATTCTATTTATTTTTCAATTCTTACCAAACCGCCTAAACATCACAAGTGAGCACATAGTTCATTTAATATTAAGTGGATTCTGTTGTCCATACATTTATACTCGATAAGAACCGAAATGCAGATGCGGTGCCACCCCTGCTACATTATTCTCCTGTGTTACACTGGTATCACTGAATACCAGTGTGAAATAGGAGAATAATGTTGCAGGGGTGACACCGGTCGAGCGGACTTATTCGTGCCGTAGCCATACATAGCTGCAGCGGGGCTCCACCACGTAATATATATCAATTGGAACCTCCTTGGGAAGGTTTATTTGCAGCAGTTGACTTAAAAGGGATATAATGTCAATGGCTGTGAACATTTTGTAGATTTTACTAAATCAGAAACTATCTATTTATTATTTGCAGTCCCACCCCCGCTACCAGTTCAACTACGGAGTCTCTGATGGTCACACCGGCGATCAAAAAAGTCAGTGGGAAGCGCGCGACGGTGACGTGGTGAAGGGTCAGTACTCTCTAGTCGAGCCCGATGGCACCGTCCGTACCGTTGATTACACTGCTGACGATCACAATGGGTAATTTTTTAATAATTTTTTCGGTACTTCACATTTGACGGGAAAACGGAAAGTAATACTAACAAAAAACCTGGTTATTCTCAATACTATTTAGTCTTTGCCTTCAATATTAGTAAGAGAAAAACTCTCAGAAATGAAAAAAGAAGAAGAACTCTAACTTTATTTTTAAAAGAAATTATATTAAAATATTATCCGTCACAGAAGGCAATTAAGAATAGCATAGTAAGAATCTCTATAAATTGTATCTGCTAAGCATCACAACATGCTCTGCTAGTTTTCTATCTGAAGACGCATTGCTTCTTAGTCCTCAGAGTTGACAACGCATCTATAGGCTTGTCTTTTTGAAGTCGGTTGCAGGTGTTCATGGTACTGCATGTAACCACTTACCATCAGGCAGACTCCTAAGTTAGTTTCTCACTTCAGTATTAAAAAAAAGGCAGATAGAGATTAGAGAATATGTGGTCGCAGACTACATATTCTCTAGCAAATGAATCTTCCCGTCAATGTCAGGCCATGGAAACACATGGGCCTTAATTCACAGCTGGATATAGTACATCTTTTAGCCAGGGCAAGTTTATTGTAGAACACTCACTCACACTATAGTGCACGCCATCTCCAGTCTGTTGATGAAAAGGCGTATAAGAACGGATATGCCGCTATTTTACTGTCGTCAGAGACATGTTTGATAATTAGCAGGTTGAATTATCTCGTGCAGATGAATTTGACATTTGGAGAAAAGTTTTTTTTTTAAATAAAACTTACCCCTACAATGGGATTTACTCCTTTACATTGAAGGCAGTTTATAAAGATAATTTTCACAAAAACAAACATCCAGACCTGGAACAAATATTTGTAGATCATACAAATATTTGTTTCAAGAGGGATTCAAAACCGAAACACTAAGCGCTGCAGCTCATTGCTACTATCTGTGCCGCGGGACATGTGGCGGAACCGTCAATTTTATATCTTCCTTATACCTCAACTTTTTAGGTATCTAGTTCGAATATTGTTGTTGAGTTAAAAAAGGAGACTTCCTGAGTTTCTTCTGTTTATTTCTTCGCCGATCGAAGGAAACTCATTTCGAAATAGTAGTAGATTAAGTTTGACAGATGAAATTTAAATATCTTACATGTGTTACATATCGAAAACAAATATTTTTATTACATTTCTTTTCATTCATTTCTTGTGGTGTTCAATGTCTTTCAATTTTTCGACTTCCAAAACCGTTTAAAATAACTAATTAAACCACTAGATAGGAAAGGACGGCCTTCCTCTTTTTCCTATCTGCAGTTTTAAAGAAGGTTTCTTTGTGATGTTCTGTTGCCTAATATAAAAGTCTATTATATAGAATTTGTATAATTATCGTCACGCTTGGCTAGCGGACTATTATATAACGTTGTCACTAAGCGTTCTCAGTACCAGACGTTTTGATGCAATGAATAAATACTATACTCAAGTAACTTGCGTTTCTTACAGGTTCAACGCTGTGGTGAACAGACAAGGACATGCAGCCCATCCTGCTGCAGCTCGCGTGGTTAAGACCTTAGTGGCTGCTCCAGCCCTTGGACATGGGCATCTTCTCGGCTAGAGGCCAGATACAATCCCTTCTCTTACAACGTCAATTAATTATAACTTGCGTGTAATGTACTTAGTATAAGCTGTTGCAAGGAAACTACCGGTTATGGTTAAAAAGGGGGCTGCTCATTGGTACGAATTGTGAGCATTGGTATGCTTTGAGGCTACGCGTTTCATAAGGTGTATCGATTCCGGGACTTTAATGCCTACAAATTAAGACATTTTTGCCATCAGTATCTATTTTAAAACAAACAAATCTCGCTTTTGTATTATATTTTCATGTAGTTTGTAAGTATCCCGCATGTGTTTTTACTTTTATATAAAAGTATTGTTAGTATTGAATACATTTTATGAAACGTTGACTATAATGCCTGCTTTGGTGCTGTTCGAAGACTTCTTTTTTTTGCTGCTAAAATGTAAATTAATATATTGTTACTTTCATAATTCGATAACTTTTATTAAACCCCTATTTTTTAACGACTCAATAGTGAAGTGACTATTAGTTTAGTTCAGGCCAGGGTTACGATTCCCCCCATTGAAACTAGTGTAGAAGTGTTCCACAAGTAATAATTGGATTTAGGTATTAGTGTTTATCCATGTGCAATATATTGTTTTAGTAATTTACCACTATAATAAGGTAAAAAATCCTAATATGGAAATAGTAACACGCGAAATATATTTATAAAAAAGCCGAATAATTAGCATCTACAAGAGGCCTTATATTGGATCCTTACCTGTGAAATTAGCGTTTTGTCGTGATAACCACTTTGATCTGAAATATCTCCTCTTTGGTTAAGAATTCCAAATTCAAATTTATAAATTCATTTAGCTGGTACATTTCAGTTTTAAAAGCCGTCATTCATTTGTTTTTCCCCATTTTTTTTTCTTTGGTTTCGCTTATTACCGCACAATGGAAAACATGAAATATCAGTATATTTACGAGTACGAGTTCTATCGTGGCACCAGTGCTGCAGAAACAGCTCGAAGGATTAATGATATGTACGGCGCTGGTGTCGCAAAAGAAAGCATGGTACGTTTTTGGTTTCAACGTTTTCGTTCTGGAAATTTCGACCTTCAGAAGCAACCCCGTGGATGACCCGAGACCAAAGTGAATAATGAAGAATTAAAGGCTATTGTGAAAGCGGATCCATCACAAAGCATTTCAGAGATAACGGCATGTTTCGGAGTAAGTGGTTAAACTGTATTAATCCACTTCAAGCAAATCAGGAACTTAAAAAAACTTAAACGATGTGTACCTCATGAATTGAGTGAAACGAACTTGCAAACACGCGTCGACTGCTGTGTTACTTTACTCAACCGATACAAAAATCAATGGATTTTAAATCGAATCATTACTTGTGATGAAAAATGGGTACTGTGCGATAATCGGAAGCGCCCGTCACAATGGCTGTACCCTGGAGACTCAGCCAAATCCTGCCTTAAACGAAAATTGACTCAGAAAAAGTTACTTGCGAATGTTTGGTGGACTAGAGCCGGTGTGGTTCACTACAGCTTTCTAAAATCTGGCCAAACGATTACGGCAGATATCTATTGTCAACAACTGCAAACCATGAAACCATGAAGGAAGAACTAGCTGCTAACAACCGAGATTGGTCTATCGCTCTAGCCCACTGCTGCTTCATGACATCGCAAGACCACAAACTGCACAACAAACAACCACTAAGTTAGATGAGCTACAATTGGAATATCTGCGACATCCACCGTGCTCCCTGGACCTTGCTCCAACAGATTACCATTTTTTCCGGAATTTGGACAACTTCTTACAAGGAAAAAAATTCAACTCCGACGCGGCAGTCCAAACCACCCTCAAAGACTTTATTGATTCTCGCCCCCATGGTTTTTTTGGTAAAAGGATCAATGAACTACCTATAAGATGGCAAAAGTGTAACAACGGTGCATACTTTGATAAATAAATATATTTTACAAAAAAAAAAAAGCTTTATATTTCTCCCGTACAAAACGCCAATTTCATGTGTAAGGACCTATTATGATAATACAAGTATTTAAAATTATGAAATGAAATTTTCCTTAAAATTATTGTCACCATTATTAGTTAAACTTTATACTCATATTTAACTATAGTGAAAGTCTTATTTGTACAATAAAATGTCAGCAAAATGAATATAACTAACAGGAGATACTGAACACAAATTGTATACATTGAAATTATAGTCTAATTAATAGCTTCTTCCTTTTTTCCAGTTTACTTTTTATTTTATTAGTAATTTGATTCTTGGGAAATAATATTGGCACATGCGAAGTACAACGAAAGACTTTTTCGCATCAATATATTTTTTAAATAAATAAAATTACTTTTCTTGGAGTTTTGTACTAGTATAACTAGTTTAAACTCTCGTAACAATAGTTAATAAGATCATAAAACAATGTAAAGTCCGTACAGATAAAGAATGGGATTAGAAATGGTGAGTCATCAAGTCCGTACCGTCAACATACACATTACCAGTAGCGAAAACCCGCTAATATCGGTATATCTTTATATTATTCGGTAAATTGAAAATTTTCTATTGATGGGAGAGTATTTGAAAAGAAGTATATACACGAATAGATATATTAATTTTGAAATGACATTTATAACTAGCGACCCATTCCGCATTCTCCTCGGTGGGATCTATTAATGTGGTGATTTTTAGACTAAAGATAATAATTAAAGACCGTTTATTTTATCTTATCAATATTTCTATTTAAAAAATCTAAATCTTTAGAATAAAATTTAGTCTAAATTATTTCACGATAACCCCTGCCCCTATTTTGACCAACGCTTCATCATCTTCTTCTTTCGCATTGCTTGAGACAGACGAAGAATAAGTAGAGCGCATTAATATATTTCTGAAAGGTCAAGCTGTGGGATGGGACGCCTGAACGGTATATCGTCTGTCATATTAAAGCAACATAAAATATCCCTATTCCACATAATATTACGCGCATTTGTAATTTATGTTTATCGCATGACATCTTTCCCGATGTTTTAAAAAAATCTATTGTACTTCCTATTCATAATAATGGGGATAGAGATCGTATCACGGAAAACTGTCTAAAATAATAGAGCGGATAATAAATACTAGACTCACACCACTCTTTATTGAACACTAAGAAAACAAATAACATAACAAGCAACAAACAAAGAGAAAAACATAAGGCGGTCTTATTGCTATGCAGCAATTTCTTCCAGACGACCTAAATAAGAAATAAAAATAGGTGAAAAGTTAATTAATGGGTAGAGTGCACTATAAATAATATAAAAGTGTGCACTATATATAATGTAAATTAATATTTTTATTAATTAACTTTTATAACTACCAATATAAAAGTAAATTAATAAACATGTCGGAATTTACTTAATGACATATTGGTGATTATAAAACGACAGGAAGAGATGAATAGAGGAGGGAGAATTTAGAAGGAAATATAATTTTTAAAGGAAAGATAATGAACTTTTTTGGAGGGTAGGTGTACAATAAATAATAACTTTTTAAATAGCTCTTATATTTTATTTTAATTTTAATATTCACAAACAAGTTTTGTTCTATATAAAACTACTAAACAATCAGTGATTAGTTGTTGTATGGATGAAGTGTAAAAATATGAACATTTAGAGAATTTTTGTCTCACTTGCACCTCCCATTGGTGATACTTTATTGCAATCAAATTCCCAAGTTTTCATCTCATTTTGCCTGAACTGATTAACTGTAAACATAATGGAAAATGTTACTGAAGTGGAGAACATACAAAAGGAGCTTGAAAAATGCTGGACTCGTAAAATGACAGAATTTAAAAGAAGATGAAAAGCTCCGTCTAAACCAACTAGTTCCACCCTTATTCAATTACGTGATGAGTTTCACGCATTCAAGGAGTTGGTAGGCTCAATGTTTACTTTTCTTCGACAGCAGGTACGTGATTGTTTACAGTCTATTGATGCAATTGATATGAGGCATAGATGAAAGATTCTGCTATTCAATGGTATACCTGACACAGCAGAGGATGATGCAGAGAAAGAAGCCATCGGATCGGGGTAAAAAAAGATGGTCCCACACGGCCAATTCTCATCCAATTCAAAGACTATCACACAAAGCATGAGGCTTGGAATGCTAAGACCAAATTAAAAGGGTCTCATGTTTCTGTTCCCGAGTTTCTTACAAGAACAAGGCAATCCATACATAAGAAAGACCGCAAGCTCTTTGGTATAAAAAAATGTGGACACTTGATGGGATAATATATGTCAAACTGCCTAATAATGAAAGGGCGAAGATCTCCTCGGAGGAAGAGTTGAATATTCTTATTGAAAAATTTCCTGCAATTAGTTCTCCGGCTACTTCTGGCTTGGCTTTCAAACAGAGCTCTTCAAACAAAGCTTTTCTGTAATGCATCGTCAAGGTGAAACTGCTCTGCGGAAGCAGGTAGGGGCATCAGCGCAAAATGTTGATTCTAAGAGGTCTCGTCGTCGTCAATGTAAGGAAAAATATAATATTATAACCAATGGACCAAAATGTTTCCATTAGGTGGTGTGGTTAATTTATACCTAGTTTTTGTTAAATTTGTATACTCCTTTCCAATATAAATTTAATATTAATTTCTGTTTTTGTTTAAATAAACGTAGTGATCTATGGTTATACTTTTTATCTCTTTGTTCTAGTATAGATTAAAAAAAAAGAATATTAACAATTCTATAAAAATTAATTAAATTGCTTGTGTTACGAGTGGCTCACGCGAGTAGTCGAATGGCGGATTCGAACCGACGACCTTTTTGAGTTCGCAGTCCTCGCCCTGCCATTAGACTACTGTCGCTTGTTTGGGGAGGCTCTGCGAAAACATTATGTTAAAAATTTGTTAAAAAGAACCCAAAGAGCAATCTCAAAAGTGACATCCTTTTGCAATTTTCTTTACCCTGCTAAAAAGCTTTATAAGGAATGGAAATTATTATCTGTGTCACAGCTATTTGTCCAATTGGTTATACAAAGACAACATCGCTTAGTA